CATTCTATGATTCTATTTTCTATCTCCACATGTAATGCTTAAAAAGCAAGCTCCAAGGAGCAAGATGCCAGTCTTGCTGCTTGGACAAATGCTCTAAGCAAAACAGTGCTGTGCACTAATAGTGCAAGATTCTACTAGACACCGAGGTCTTTCCTTCTCAGACTGTCATTAGGTTGGTTAGCTTGACTTCCAGACCTATGTGTACGTGCACAGTGCTCTGGATTATATAAATATTGCAGGTCTACAACTCACCCATAGCTGCAAGCAGTTGCCCATCCCAGTTCAAACGCCTTTCTCATGAGAAAACCACCAAAGATCCTATTGAAGATGTTCCGTTCCTGTACACAGAAACGGAAAAAATCCAACTGCTATATCACATATATTCTTTTTAAAGCACTGTGCTAAAGCCTGCACTTCAGCTTAACAGAACTTCCAGCATCTGAAAGTATGAAAAGCACTACTGAAATCCAAATGCAAAAGTCCAAATGGCCGAGGCAACTTTACTGAATAGGAGCTCACCCGACCCATTTGACAACATGAGATGAAAACTCAAAACCCTGTCAGCAACCAGAAACCCAACTTAAACATGCTGCAAAGTAATTTCTTTACACAAAATGACTAGTCTGGTAAGAAAACAAAGTAATTTAAAATCTTCTATTTTGCTCTGGCAATCCCTACAGGTAACAGGAAAATGGCAAAAGAAACCAAGATCTCAACACATTGCGAGGACTGAAGAACTGAAAGAAAATAACGGACTGACTAGTCTTACAGGACAATTCATAAGTAAGTGTTTTCATAATTCATTAATATTTTTCAAAATACCTGAGGATGGCAAATCTGTAGGCCTTTTAGCTTTGCATCTTCCATCCACACTGAATTGGGTGGTAATTTACGACTCCGGAAACTTACTGTCCTTTTAAAGAGACAATTAACTTTATAGCCCACATTAGCAGAATTCATCAGGTCAAAAATAAGCAAAGAGCAAATGCAGTCACACACCAACAAAAAAAAACCCACATACACACCCCAAAAAACACCAAAACCCAGAAATGCTATCACTAAAAGCTGTTCCAAGCAACCTTGAAGCCTTATCTAAAATGATATTTTGTTACTACAGCAAGCCTACGCTCCTGATCTTTTCAAAAACTTCCACTGATGTTCAAACTTATGTGAATGAACAAGCTCCAGAAAAGTAAGTAGAAGAAAAGATGAATCACATTCACAAAGCACACACTTTGTCAGAAAAGCTTTACTCTGTTTTTTAAGTCATATTATGAACTAAAAGCACACAGTGAGCTAACAGAGTAATTCAACGTCAAACATGCAGACAGTTTGAGGTTTTCAAATCCAGACAGAATGTGTACAAAATACATCTGCTCATTTGAAGGGAAAGCATGTTCAGGTAAACAGCTTTGAAAATAACAACTGTATAATGTTAGTATGTTAAAGAAATTATTATCTACAAATACAACATTGCACTAATGTCATTAGGCATTGTCCTATCACCACTGGCACTGGATGATTTCAGACAAATCTCAACAAAAGTCTCCCACAAATAATGTTGTCAGGTATTATATTTAAAACCCACTGCAAGGCTACCTGGTCAAAACATAGCCAATTCCTGTCCTCACAGGTTTTTTTCTAGATATCACAGCAGAAAACTCGTAGACTGTGCAAGTCACAGCTGCAAAACCATTCTGTTCCCATATTTGGTTAAGCATCATTAACACTTTTCCTTAAGGTTTTTCCTAAGTGCTCGCTCAGAACCTCTTTGTGCTTCCACTGTCCCTTTCAGCATCTTTGCACAGCTAACACTCTTCAACCACAGACGACTCTTTCAAGAGATGCAGATGTCACATTAAAGTTTGTGCCTGTGTTTCAAATAAAATGCCACAGAACTTAAATGGTGAATTGGGAAAACAAACTGTGTGCGCTGACTGCGGACTACCCTCTTCCAAGCACCCACTCAAAAGGCACATTACTTTCCCCCTTCATAAGACTTCCTGCTCCTCCACCCTTCCCCTTCTTGCCTTGTGTCCAGCGTGTTGAGGAATATGTCGTGAACAATGTTTCTTTCTTCTGCAGTGGGAGCCATTTTCAGTAAGGAAGCAGTGCTGAAATCAATCCTCTTCAGCTTGTTCACTAAACAGTAAAAAGAAGTCCTATTAGAGTTCAAAGAATTAAAAAAACGCAACCAAACACATTTGGCTTTGCTTTGAAGACTCTAGCCTGGAATCAGCTGTCTCTTTCCTTTTTCCATTTTCCTTCCTCTAAGTTAAACGCTGTAACTTCACAGTCCCATAGACACAAACAGAAATTTGGCTTTGAGAACTGACTGCACCAATGAAAAAAGTAAGGCAGAAGCTGACTGTTCCCTCAATGTGCTGAGGACCTTTTATAGATGTACTGTGATACTCACCCACTGCTCCTACAGAAAACTTCAGTACTCCCCTCGAAGCACAGAAAAACATGTCAAACAAGAAACCCTACAGAAAAATCTTCTTCAGCTTTCGCCAATGGCACAAGAACGCAAATTTGTGATAGAACTCATGACAATGATTGAAATTTTAGCTTAAAAGAATTTCTGTTCACTTTATTCAACCTTTAATCTTTCTCAAATTCTCTGCTTTAAAATTCTAGCTTGAAACAAAAGAAGATGGAGCTACACACTC